ATCTTGATTGAGCCAATAACTGAAGTCTCGACTTACTCGTGTCGAATAGATAGGACTTCGTTGATTTGTTTTCTAAAGAGACAAAATTTTTCCTTCATGTATCATTCTATTTGAACGGAGATCAAGATATTTGAGAAACGAAATTGTTGTTCAGTAGCGTTTCTATTAAAATTCCCGAATCATGACTTGAAATGCAGTTCTTGACAAGCTTCAATCCTATTAATGTTTTTTTTTCTTCAGTGTTTTAGCTAGAAAGGAGATATCTTCTGTTGATATACATATTATTTCCTTCTAACTCAAATTTTGTGCACTTTTTCGTGATCATTGTACAACTTATGACAATTGGCATGTCTTGATTCGCCAATTGTTGCCCAAATCAGTTTATATCAGAGTGTGTTTTACATTGAATAACAGAGTGTTCGAGTGAAGCATTCTAATGGTTTCATTTGGCGTTAATGGACTGGATAATGTCTCCTGCAAAAGATTCGAAAATGCCTATGAAACAAGTTGAAAGCATAAGTAATATTCTAAGGCGAAACTTGACCATTACGAGAGCTTTTCCAGTAATCGAATTGCTGTGACGGGTTCGAGACTTCGTAGAACTCATTACTGTGACTTGAACAAAAGAGACGTGAGTATAAATGCGTTTGCTGGTACGGTTGTGCGTTTTCAGTTAATTCACATAATCATGCAGATGCACACTTCGAATAGCTTTTCACGCCCGATCTGTTTTATTCAATAACCTTGCCATTATTATTCGTGCATGCCCTTGTAGCGTAACTGGTTAACGTATCCGGCTTTTAACCGGGGGATTGACGGTTTGATTTTGTTCATTAATTGCGATTCACAGTAGATTTGATTATCACATATTAATAAGATGTAATCAAACACTATCATCAATATTGTTGAATATGTTCTTCGAGCCCGTCCAAGAGCAATATACCATATTTTTTTCGACTCATTAGTAATTATGGAATATCTCATTCAAAGAACGAACTAAAAATTAATTCTGTTGAATATATTTTACGATTTTTTTTTGTAATAACAACTAGTAGTACAGAAGAAAACAGAACGATAATGAAGTATTTATGTGATGTAATTACATTTGTAGGAAAATATTCATTCTCTCAATAAGGTATTGCATAATTTTTTTTCAACACATTCACATTAAAAAAGAAATAGAGATCATCAGCTCTTGGGTGGATTCGAAAAAAATATTCAATAATGACGATGATGACAATAATGTATGACTGCGTCGTATCGAACAGAATCGTTGAGAATCACAATTGATGAGCAAAATCAAACCATCAATCCTCCAGTTCGAAGCCGAATACGCTAGTCGTTTACGTCACAAAAGTACAAGTGTTGACGTAGTTTTCTCGACACTGTTCGTGTCACATTCAGTTCTTAGGGTGTGGGTTAGAGATTTGCGGGACAATCTTTTTCGTGTCTCGAATCCCGTTTGTCCCGTCTCGAATAGCTTCGGGACGGTACCGTTTGTTCCGCGGGACGGGAGAAATGGGATTTTTCAGGGTTTTGGACTGTGCCACAGGGCTCTAGTGCATGTGGTGAATAATTCCAATGTTTATCATGATTCGGTAGTAATGTTCGTCACTGATCGATCGAGACATCTGGTGAGTAGGAAATATTGATTTATTGCTTTTTTTTAATTTTATAACAAATGGTCGTTTTTTTACGAATATATTATTTTTATATTTGAAAAGATAAAAATCAGTGTCGCTAGTGAGGTAGGAAATACGGCATATGTGCAGTTTGTAAAACATCATCAGAGTATTACTCTGTTTCTCTTGCATAATCACAACGTATGTATGTACAATGCGTCATAGGAAAGAACGCAAATTTTTTTTATGGATTTTTCCAATAAATAAAAGGAACGTATTGCACGTTGTACTGCATTTTGAAAATTGCAAGAGAGTGACTGATCAGTTTTTCTAATGCATTCGACATCCACGACAGATCTTTCTATTCTCTATGCGAATTTGAAACAGAATATGACAGATAAGGATAATGTCGTCTTGATTGAAACAGGTGCCTTAAATCCTGTTCATCGAAATCACATCTCCAATATGATCAAAACAAAACAATATTTGGAACGTGTCCATGGTTTTAATGTTATCGGTGGTTATTTATCGCCTACTCATGATGAATACGTCCGAGGTAAACTCGGCGAAGAATTAATTAGTGGACAACATCGGATTGAAATATGTCAAAAAGCTATTGAAGAAGCTAATCAACAACATTGGCTCAGTGTTGATAAAGCCGAGTGTATGGGTTAGTTATCTTTACAAAAAAGAAAACTTGTTTTGATGAACTGAAATAATGTTTCCACATAAGGTTCCTATTCATTAAATTACTCGTGACGAGATGTAAGACTTTCGTGAGGACATTGGTATTGTATAAATCAATCTAAAGTTAAGTCATATGTGATGAAAAATGATCGAGGAATAAAACTTCTGAATTATAGATAACGAATGTGATTGAGTGATTATGATTCTCATTCAATGTATTTGTTTTTTTTAGCACCCAATTTTATTTCCTTGGGTCAGGTAACACTCAGTCTAAAAATGTTTATCAACACAGTGCTAAACCTGCCAAAACCTGTTCGCGTCATTTATATTGCTGGTCTTGATTTATTCAATCGTTGCCATGGGATGCATCGACTGAGAACACCAGATAGGGATGGTGTTGCCGTTGTCTATCGATCAGGTGAAGAAGAACATCTGGTCAGATCTGTACAATCTCCGCATCTCGACAAAGTATATTATGTGAAAAACGATAGCACTGATAATGAAATATCAGCGTTGAGTGATATCAGTTCAACACAAATTCGACGAATGCTTAAAGATGGACAATCGTGCGAGCATTTGACCTATCCTTCGGTGTTGAACTATTTAAAATTGATTCCACTCGAGAAGAAATAATGATGTGAGATGTTTGTTTGTTTTCATATCGATCTGTTATACTAGATATTCAATCTCTCAATTTAATTTGTTTGTTGAAAATATAATTTTATGAAGAAAATTAATTGTTGTGTC